ATGCACAATGCAATTGCTCACTACCTGCTGTCTGATGCCCAGCCTAACCCCGAGCAGTCTGGCCCTCCTCCCAGCTCTTGCACCCCCAGCCTGTCCGCTGGCAGGACAGAGCGAGAAGCTGAGACGTCCTTGGCTTGGTGTAAGCACTGCTCTGCAACAATTAAAACATCAGCATATTATCAGAACTCTTCTCATCCTAAACCAGAACATAGCATTCTACCAGCTACTAGGAAGAAACACCCTCATCATCAATCTCTGAACAGCAATTACTAAAGTTAAATTTTCCACAGATTTCTCCTTCTTGTGCTAGTAAATAATCCAAGGCTAAGCGATTTTGATACAAAGCAGGTCTCATCTTGGTATTTTGCTTTGCAATTAATCCAAGTGCATCTCCGGTTTTACTTACAACTATTTCTATTACAGTTTGTAACCTAATTATTCTATTAAATACATACATTGGGGTCCTATAGCCCCAGGATCTGTCTTCTGCCCACGTAGCTGGATCATAATAGGCAAACGCCTTCAATCAAGGGGTTGGGCCTGCTTTCAGGGTTGATTCAGGCTTGTGTTACCGTTCAGCCTGTCAGGGTGATCCAGCTCCTGGAAAACGAATCACAATTTTATATAGGTTTAAAAAAAAGGTTCTTATGTTATTTTCTCGGGACAACCTGCCCTTAGTGTGGGAGAAGTCCGGTCGAGGCCCTCTCACTCGGCAGTCAATACCCATAGGGGTTGCCTCCCTCGGTAGACCATACACACCGCAGTGGAGGGTCCTGCGTCTGTATCTTGCCTTCTCCCTTTCATCCCTTCAGGCTTTTCCCCTTTATCTGGTGCCCTTAATTCATGAAGAGCCTCGTTGCCAGAATATTAGTTCTTCTTTAGCTTGAGTTTCAGTTTCCCAGGAGCGGACTCAACCCTCCAAGTTTCAGTAGTCCTTTCATTCTGGATGCGGTTCTCACTTTCTGCGGTTCCCCTTTCTGCGGTTCTCACAGCTGTTTCAGTGGTAAGTAAAACAAGGTACAGTCCCTCCCCTTGGGGGTTCAGTGATTCTTCCCTCCAGGTTTATTTATTAAGACCTTGTCTCCTGGTTGTATCTTATGAATAGCAAATCCTAAAGGTGGTTTTTGAGCCATCAGTCCAATTTCTCTTAGCTCTTGTAATCTCCTTCCAATAGTAATTATATATTTCTGGATGCTACGATCCTCAACTACATTGTTCCCTAGAGGCATCCCTTGAGAATAAGGCATATCATATAACATTTCATATGGTGATAATCCAGTCTCACTGTGTGGTTCAGTTCTTATGTTTAAAAGTGCCAATGGTAAGCATTTCGTTCAGGGCATTTGTGTCTCAATCATTAATTTAGCCAATTGTTGTTTTATTGTTTGATTCATTCTTTCTACTTTCCCTGAGCTTTGTGGGTGCCACGGAGTATGGTATTCCCACTGAATACCTAATGATTGACATAATAATTTTATTATTTTAGAAGTAAAGTGTGTGCCCTGATCAGAATCAATGTACCGGATTATCCCATATCTAGGTATCAGGTGTTCTAATAGATTTTTTACCACCATTTGTGCTGTAGCTTGTGCTACGGGATAAGCTTCTACCCACTGTGTTAAATGATCTACTATTACCAATAGATATTTTATCCTCTCTACTTTGGGCAATTCAGTGAAACCAACTTGTACTTTCTCAAAAGGCCTGTAAGCTGCTTTGTTTTGTTTCTCCCTCCCGTGGCTGCTTGTTGAAACACTTTCTTATTTATCTTCTGATAAGTTAAGCAATGGTTATGTAATTTGCTTTGCTATTTCAAAAAAAAAAAACAAAAAACTATGAAACCAAATTGTTTTAGTAAATGATCACTTAACGCCTTTGTACCCCAATGTGTTTGTGCATGCAAACGTCCCAATATTTGCTTCGCATCAGCTTTTGGCAATATCTCTCGCCTGTCTGGCAGTGTCCATTTTCCTTGTTCTAATTTAGCCTCTATTTTCTCCATTTTCGTTTGTTTATTTTGTTTTGTTTTCCACTGCATTTCATAGTCGGTCCAAAAATTCCATAGGGGTTTCTTTTGGATTTTGTTGGAACAGATTCTCCATTCCCAATTTAACCAGATTTTGGTATTTACCGTTCATTATTTCTGGGATGACTATAGTCTCAGTGTAGGGTCGGTCAGGGGAATGCAATCGTCAACAGTTCCCTGAGCGGTCCCATTGGCAATCTGAGCTCACTCATAAACTCAGGTTGTTTTAAGGGTTAACTGCTTTTCTGTTTCCATGACAACTCTCTGACCCCTCATGGTCCCTCTGCCCCAAAGGGCTCACACCCCTGATTTTGAGATCTCAGCCTCCTGTTGAGGCAGAACTATTAACATTCCTACATCCTCTTCCCCTGCTCATTCAACTTCAAACAGCTCTGTTAAATACTACATGCCAAACCTTTAACACCTTCAACAACCCTTTCAACCCTTCCTTTATCTTTCTCCAGCCCGTACTTTTCTCATGCCAACACCAAAGGCTAAGTCAGGGGCCAACTTGATTCCATACCTTTTCCCTCTAAGATGCTGAAACAACATATCAGTATAATACATTTCATCCCATTTTCCTTCTCTCATAAAAAACAACATTAATTGCAAGATAGTGTTATAGTCGATTGATCCATAAAGTGGCCATTCACTTTATATAGTGGCCACCGTTGATTGCAATACTTAGTGAAAGTCCTCTTGCTTTCTGTGCCCCCAGTTCTAACAATATCCTTCGAATGTGACAATATGCACCCAAGGAGGATTTCTTTAAAACGTCTTTGTTTTGGATATTACCCATTTCCTTGATTTCCCATTCCCTTTTATTTATTTATTTATTAATATTCCTTACTAGTTACTGTCCTTTGTTTCAATCTCCACGCAAACCTTTTTACTGCGGGTTTTTACTATCTTTTCCTAATCTTCTTCTCCAATGTCCCAATTCTCTGGAATTAAACTCTTCTTCCCACATACAAACTTTACTATTTCAAATTATTAACGAGCCCCGTTTCAATCATAAATCCACGGAACTTCAGGAAAAGTTCAGCCTTCACTCAGCCTTCAGTCTTCTAGACAAACATTACCACCTTTTCCACAAAAATTTACATTTCAACAGGACCGAATTTCAAGCCGAATTTTTCTCATGGACTTTGTTAGTAAGCCTACACAAAACAAGGAATCACTCCTGTGTATCTGTCAATATGGGGGTTTAAAAGGTATTGATGCCTAAATAAATTTGCTCCCCCTCTTCTTACCAGATTCCCAGGGCTCAAGCCCGAACCACCAAAGAAATGACTCTCTCAGTTCTGCTTTGATAATCACAGTCCCCTTACCCCTCCCCCCCCCCCCCCCCCCCCCCCCCCGCCAGTACTTGGGAAACTGACCAAACACCACAGCAAATACACCAACACTTCTCAACTGTTAGTTACTTAGATAATGCTCCCGCCTTTTTCTTGTCACACTCAAAGCATTTAAGAGCAAAAATAGGCTCACAAGATACACTGCCAGGCCCATATATTAGGCACCACCACTCAAAACTTGGATGAAACAGCACTTCTTTTCAGTCTGTCACGCACTTCGTTCGTCTCTGGCCGCTCCCCTCGCAGAGAATATGGAACTGTGGATCGGAACTCCGCACTCGCTTTGCAGCGATGCTGCGTCTCACTCCCACAGCACAATCATGCAATCACACAAAGAGGCCTCTAGCACATCTCATTCATACCACAAGAATATAATTTAGAATGGTACCCAACCAAACAAGTATTGTCTCTGACTGTGTTCTTCGTGGAGTGACTTATTCCACTTTGTTTCAAACCCTTACACTTACACAAATATTTTCAACACAAAATACCTGGACATTTAAGAATAACACATACAATTATTAACACTCCAGTTAGTATCCCTCCAGCAGCTGAAAACATACCGTTTGTCCGCAGCTTCAGGAGATCTTTGTCAGCTCCTGCAGTGAGCGGCTGAGAGTGGAGTCCCCTCTGAGCAAAACACTCAGGGTGCACCTAGGGGCATCCGCTCCGCAGCCGATCCCGCAGCCGAGCAGTGTCTCCTGCCTGGCTCACCAAAATGACTCACAGAAAGCTGACTCCACAATCAGTAAGATTGTAAAGTAGGTATGTTTACTCAGTTCTGGGCGGCACGGGGGGGGGTAGTCCCCCTAAAGTCATGCACGCCTAACGTGGCAGCTTGCTCTGGTTATATCTAGTAAAGAGTTACATATACATGAAGTTTCCCAACACTCCTATACATATGCATAACCTGTCCCTTTGTGAACAGTCCTCCTTATCTCAGACCCCTTGATTAAAGTCCGAACCATGAGGTTGTTTTGATCTGGTTCTCGGGGTCCGAGAGGCTCCTGTTATCTGGAGGTCTAAGCGCAGCACAGGCACACTACATCACAAATATAGCACATATTCATTCTTAATCAATTGCTCTCTAATTTCTAATTCCAATGTTTCAGCTGCAGCAGACTTGCTCTCTTCCGGATCCACGGGTATTCTACTATTAACATTAATGTTCAAAGCCTGACAGACCCCATCCTCCGTGGACCCAAATATCAACCAAAATACATGGGGTCTTAAGGGTTCTTTTGGTCATTCTATCATATAATACTGGACCATTTTTAATTTACTCTTTCATTTTCTGGGGCCCCTATTGTTCCAATTTCTAATCATTATTCCTAATGGACTTTCTGGTAATTTGCTCCCTTTCTTCTGGTCCTTGGTCATCAATTCTGTCTGACCCATCTAGGAATTTTACTATGGCAATTCCCACAGCCCTTGGTTACCTTAGTAAGAGTGTCTTGCAGGAGGTTTAGGACCTTCCTTCACTGGCCAAGTCCCTCACGGGAGATTGTAACCATGGTTAGAAGACCTCCATCTGACACGAATCAGATGAACATATCTCACAATAGCATTCTACCAGCTATTAGGAAGAAAATTAACTCTGTCCTAACTGAAACCAGGACACCATGATATGGACCCATATTTGGAGCAGTTCTTGAGGAGGTGCTGCCTGTGGGAAGCCCGTGAAGGATCAGTTTTGGAAGGACTGTATCTCATGGAAGGGACCCCACATTGGAGCAAGGTAAGAGAGTGACTGTGAAGGAGTGGCAGAAACAAAGTTCTATAGGCTGACTGCAACCCCCATTCCCCAATTCCACTGCGCCACCTGGGGGGAGGAGGTAGTGAGAGAGGGAGTTAGGAGAATACAGTAACTCACTAACCTTTTAGCAAAGAATTTACTAACTTTTAGAAAAGGGGGAACTGAGAGAGGGAGTTAGGGGCAAGTAGAGATAGAGTGCTGACAGCATGAAGAAATTAATTAAAGCAAGAAGCCTTGGGCCCCTTTACCAAGATCAGTCTCCTAATAAGAGTGTGAGCCTATCTTAAGAAACTGGTAGAAACTGGTCCTGCGGATGGACAAGAGCCAAGGAGCAACTGAGTATGCGTGTTACATATGGAGTGGTAATTAGCGTCGGGAAAATGGTTGATATTAATAAAGAAGGGGGAGATTTGGGAATGTGGCCATGGGGGTTGGAAAGCCCCGTGGTTGAGATATCATTAGACTGTTAACGATGAGGCCATCAGGAATGTAAAAGAGTTTAGAGGGAACAAAGAAGGGTGATTCAGGAGACTCCATGAAGTCTCTTGGCTTGCTTGTTCTCCAGCCTGCTTGTTCTCCAGCTGTTAAGGCATGGAAGTTTCCGGGTGTTTGCTCTTGCTGTTATTTGCAAAGTTGTTTGACCAATGAAAAGTTGTTTTTGAAAAGGACTGCTGTGGGGAGAAGGGTATAAGAGGGGAGCCTGCCCTCAAGAGAAAAAGGGCAACGTGATGTGATGAAGTTATGTCATCAATAAAGAAGCAGAAAGAAGGAATGAAAAGGAACAGGCTAGCAGAACGGAGACCACGACGGGAACAGGCATGTTGATCACCTCATGAAGATAGGTTCTGCCAGACTCAGCAAATTGCTCAAAGAAGCTCGTACAGAAAGTCGCTGGAAATAGGCGCACCGGAGATGGAAAGAAGCTCAAGCTGAGAGAAGCGGACCTACGCACACAACCGCCCCTCACTGGTAAGCAGTTGTGCATTATGGAGAATCATACATCCTTAGGAACAAAGACTGTCCTGGTAACCTTACAGCTTATTCTCCTTATTAACGATCAGACGGTTTATGATCCTGAAATATGGGACCAAACTGAGGTCAAGGTGTGGGACTCTGCAACTAAAAATGACAAGGTTGCAGTGAGATTGCTTGGCATCTGGCGAGCAGTCTCTGAGGCCTTAAAGAGCCTTGTGGGACCACAGTCAGAAACGTGTGGTTTGCCAGATAGTGAGGGAGCTGCGGGCTCCTTTACTGATCCGACTGCTGCGCCATGGGCCCCTCTGCTGCTACAGCAAACTCAGGCCTTTGCTGTTGCGCCCCCTGCTGACCTGGACATGCCATTTGACCCAGGCCCTATTGGCCTTGAAAAGGAGATGGATATGCTTTTCTTCGATCTGGGAAGAACGGGATACATAAGGCCCAAAGACCGAGTTGCTTGACAACTTAAAGCAAGGCATATTGTTCAAATATTGAATATTATCCAGGAACATTTGTACATTCAGGACTGCCTCCATCAAGAAAGAAAGAAGGGTGATTGTTGTGGGAGACTCTATCCTTAGGGGAACAGAGGGCCCTATTTGTCGGCCTGACCGTACCCGTAGGGAAGTCTGCTGCCTTCCTGGGGCCAGGGTCAGGGACGTTGCCAGGAAGCTTCCCAACCTGGTACGCCCCTCTGATTATTATCCTCTTCTGATAGTCCAGGCGGGCAGTGACGACATTGAAGACAGAAGCCTGAAGGCAATCAAAAGAGACTTTAGGGGGCTGGGACGGTTAGTGGACGGAGCGGGAGTGCAGATAGTGTTTTCGTCCATCCCTACGTTGACAGGGAGGGGTACGGAGAGGACAAGGAAAGCCCACCTGTTAAACACATGGCTCCGGGGCTGGTGCCAACGCAGAAATCTTGGGTTTTTCGACCATGGGGCAGTTTATTCAGCACCTGGTCTGATGGCCGTAGACGGGTCCCTATCCTTTAGGGGAAAAAGGATCCTTGGCCAGGAGCTGGCGGGGCTCATTGATAGGGCTTTAAACTAGGTAAGAAGGGGGATGGGGGTGAAGTAAGGATTGTTGGAGCTGTGCCAGGGGGAACAATGGCTAGGTCGGGGAATAAGGTAATGGCCCAGCTGAAGTGCATCTACACCAATGCACGCAGCATGGGTAACAAACAGGAGGAGCTGGAAGCCATCGTGCAGCAGGCAGGCTACGACTTGGTTGCCATTACGGAAACGTGGTGGGACCAGTCTCATGACTGGAGTGCTGCGATGCCTGGCTATAGACTCTTCAGAAGGGACAGGCAGCACAGAAGGGGTGGCGGTGTGGCTCTCTATATTAGAGAGTCTTTCGATGTTGTAGAACTCGAGGCTAGGAATAACAAGATCAAGTCCCTTTGGGTTAGGATCGGCAGGGACAACAAGGCTAGTGTCCTGGTCGGGGTCTGCTATAGACCGCCGAACCAGGATGAGGAGACGGATGAGGAGTTCTACAGGCAGCTGACAGAAGTTGCGAAATCTTCAGCGCTTGTACTCGTGGGGGACTTCAACTTCCCTGACATATCCTGGAAGCACAACACAGCCCAGAGAAAGCAGTCTAGGAGGTTTCTGGAGAGTGTGGAAGATAGCTTCCTGACGCAGCTGGTTAGTGAACCTACCAGGGGTGGTGCCCCGCTAGACCTTCTCTTCACAAACAGAGAAGGACTGGTGGAGGATGTGATTGTCGGGAGCTGTCCTGGGCAGAGTGACCACGAAATGGTGGAGTTCACTATTCTTGGCGAGGCCAGGAAGGGAACCAGTAAAACCACTGTATTGGACTTTCGGAGGGCTGACTTTGGGCTGCTCAGGACACTAGTTGGTGGAATCCCTTGGGAGGCGGTTCTGAAGGGCAGAGGGGTCCAGGAAGGCTGGGCGCTCTTTAAGAGGCAAATCCTAATGGCGCAGGAGTGGTCTGTTCCCATGTGCCCAAAGATGAGCCAGCGGGGAAGAAGACCAGCCTGGCTCAACAGAGAACTGTGGCTTGAGCTTAGGAGAAAAAAGAGGGTTTATAATCTTTGGAAAAGTGGGCAGGCCACTAGGGAGGACTATAAGGATGTAGCGAGGCTGTGCAGGGACAAAATTAGGAAGGCCAAAGCTCATCTGGAGCTCAATCTGGCTACTGCCCTTAAAGATAACAAAAAACGCTTTTATAAATACATCAACACAAAAAGGAGGACTAAGGAGAATCTCCATCCTTTACTGGATGCGGGGGGAAACTTAGTTACAAGAGATGAGGAAAAGGCGGAGGTGCTCAATGCCTTCTTTGCCTCAGTCTTTAGCGGCAATACCGGTTGTTCTCTGGATACCCAGTACCCTGAGCTGGTGGAAGGGGATGGGGAGCAGGATGTGGCCCTCACCATTCACGAAGAACTGGTTGGTGAACTGGTACGGCACTTGGATGTGCACAAGTCGATGGGGCCGGATGGGATCCACCTGAGGATACTGAGAGAACTGGCAGAGGAGCTGGCCAAGCCCCTATCCATCATTTATCAGCAGTCCTGGCTATCGGGGGAGGTCCCAGCTGACTGGCGGCTAGCAAATGTGACGCCCATCTACAAGAAGGGCCGGAGGGCTGACCCGGAGAACTATAGGCCTGTCAGTTTGACCTCAGTACCAGGGAAGCTCATGGAGCAGATCCTCTTGGGAGTCATCATGCGGCACTTGAAGGGCAAGCAGGCGATCAGGCGCAGTAAGCATGGGTTTATGGAAGGCAGATCCTGCTTGATGAACCTGATCTCCTTCTATGACAAAGTGACGCGCTGGGTGGACGAGGGAAAGGCTGTGGATGTGGTCTACCTTGACTTCAGCAAGGCTTTTGACACCGTCTCCCACAGCATTCTCCTCAAGAAACTGGCTGCTCTTGGCTTGGACTGGCGCACGCTTCGTTGGGTTAGAAACTGGCTGGATAGCCAGGCCCAAAGAGTTGTGGTAAATGGAGTCAAGTCCAGTTGGAGGCCAGTCACTAGTGGTGTCCCCCAGGGCTCGGTGCTGGGGCCGGTCCTCTTTAACATCTTCATCAATGATCTGGACGAGGGGATTGAGTGCACCCTCAGTAAGTTTGCAGATGACACCAAGTTAGGTGCGTGTGTCGATCTGCTCGAGGGTAGGAAGGCTCTGCAGGAGGATCTGGATAGGCTGCACCGATGGGCTGAGGTCAACTGCATGAAGTTCAACAAGGCCAAGTGCCGGGTCCTGCACCTGGGGCGCAATAACCCCAAGCAGAGCTACAGTCTGGGAGATGAGTGGTTGGAGAGCTGCCAGGCAGAGAAGGACCTGGGAGTGATGGTGGACAGTCGGCTGAATATGAGCCAGCAGTGTGCTCAGGTGGCCAAGAAAGCCAACGGCATCCTGGCTTGTATCAGAAACAGTGTGACCAGCAGGGCTAGGGAGGTGATCGTCCCCCTGTACTCGGCTCTGGTGAGGCCGCACCTCGAGTACTGTGTTCGGTTTTGGGCCCCTCGCTACAAGAAGGACATCGAGGTGCTTGAGCGGGTCCAGAGAAGGGCGACGAAGCTAGTGAGGGGCCTGGAGAACAAGTCCTACGAGGAGCGGCTGAAGGAGCTGGGCTTGTTCAGCCTGGAGAAGAGGAGGCTCAGGGGCGACCTTATCGCTCTCTACAGATACCTTAAAGGAGGCTGTAGTGAGGTGGGGGTTGGCCTGTTCTCCCACGTGCCTGGTGACAGGACGAGGGGGAATGGGCTAAAGTTGCACCAGGGGAGTTTTAGGTTAGATGTTAGGAAGAATTTCTTTACTGAGAGGGTTGTTAGGCACTGGAACAGGCTGCCCAGGGAGGTGGTGGAGTCACCATCCCTGGAAGTCTTCAAAAGACGTTTAGATGTAGAGCTTAGTGATATGGTTTAGTGGGGACTGTTAGTGTTAGGTCAGAGGTTGGACTCGATGATCTTGAGGTCTCTTCCAACCTAGAAATTCTGTGATTCTGTGATTCTGTGATTTATCAAATAATGTAACAGAGTAGTTATAACACCTATCTGGGGACGAATAGTCTTTTTTGCATTGCAAGATACACCTCTCATAAAAAGAATGCTAGAGAGAAGCAGCACAGCCACCGCCGCCTCCATGGTTACGTCAGACGGGCTGCAGGGTTGTGATCTCCGCCCCTCTGCTATGTGCCAACTCGCCACACGGTGGCAGTCGTCTGCCGTTGTTCACTGACGCCTCTGGTCTCCCATAGCAACTCGATCCCGGATGTCCCGCGTCCCACCGCGATTCCTTTGTCCGGGTCGGTGCTTGGAGTTTCTCAATGTCTCTCAGGTATGTCGGCTTTTGTTAGGTCTCTCCGTGTCTCTCAGGGTTGTCCGTGTCTCTGAAGCGTCTCTCAGCGCTCTCCGTGCCTCCGAAGTCTCTCCGTGTGTCTCAGGTCTCAGCTTCTCTCAGCGTCTGTCGGGTCTCTCTCTCAGCGTCTGTCGGGTCTCTCTCTCAGCGTCTGTCGGGTCTCTCAGCCTGTCCGAGCGCCGTATGTTGCAGGAAGAACGGACGAAAGCACGACAGACACCAGTATGGTCAGGTCATGCTCCCCTTTAATTACCCGAATAGCCTAGCTTTTATAGTGAACTAAACAGAGGCGGATAGTGTCTCACACAAGATTATTGGTCAAAAGCACTCAGACAAACAACTGCAAGAAAACAACCCCCTTGTGATTAGCAGTCACATAGACCTTGTCCTTGAAGCCAGCTGCTGGTAACAATATTTTTCTAAATTCCTCAATTGGGCGATGTGGGAACACAGTCATGGGAACTTCTCATAGTCGTCCTGGTAGCTTGGTTTGCTCAGCTGCAGCAAGCCGTGGGATCTTTGCTGTTTCAAAAATCCCTCAACAGCACGTGTTTTACATGCTGCCCCCCCCTTTTTTGTTGGCTTTGCAGGATTGAAGAGAGAGTAGTTCAGACATACTGTATGAAGTATACTCCCTAATACTTGTACATAGTTTTTACTCAATTTGGTCAATGTGAATAACATTGACAATAACAATAGCATGTGATAACTTGCTTTCAAATTACATTGCTAGTTCAGAAGGAATTTTGTATTTACTAATAACTGAAGTAAATTGGTAATGGTTTTAGTCACCTCTAAATCAAATTCTGAAAGAAGGAAAAAAAAAAGCTTTAAGATTTAGCAAAGTGTGGTATTATTTTAGCCCGCAACTTGCTTTAATTTTGAGTATGTTTAAGTATTAGAAAAGGGTTTTAGAGAAATGACATTTAAAATGCAGTAATCATAGATTAGAAAACCTGCCTTATTAACACCAGCATTACAGCTAGAATCTGAGTTTAACTAAACTTTTTAAATTTCAGAAAGCCCTGTTAATCAAATAAAACCACTCCACCTCATCTCAAATTAGTTTAGGATGTAACTTTTGTACATATATATTTTAATTGTACAGATGTGAACTGATTTGGTATAACAGCAAAGAAAGTAATTAAAATAAGGCAAAAATAAACAGTACTGACAAAAAGTAGTCTTTTGTATCAGTAAGTACTCTCATGGTATATCTTAAAGCAAATAAACCATATTTCTATTGCATAATATAGTGCAGAAATTTGCAGAAGCCATTTAGGGTATAATGTGAGGTAAGAGAAGTTCTGAATCAGCATTAACAGTTATATTCCATGAGGCAATACTTTAATTATATTAAAGAGCATCTTAATTCTTGTGGTATAGTCTTGACAATTCTTGAATGTTGATTGAATATTTATTTTGGTAGAACTGTGAGGTTTTGTTACATTCTAGTGTTTCTGCCTCTTAACATGCTAAAAACACTGCTTTCTTCATTTGCTACTTAGACACTGAATAAAGTTCTGTTAGTGTGCTAAACTACAGAAATAGCTGCTGCTAAGTAAATGATGTAGATTTTCTATTTAAATATTTTTGTTGTAGGAACCTCAGGAGGTCAGTGTTTACTAGTTTTACTTTTTTTTTTTTTTTAATATATGCCTCTTTCCTGTTTTGAGTTTCCCTTTCTGAAGGATTCCGAGAGCAAACAAAAGCTGCTGATCAGCTGCTGAACCTAAGTTGTTAACAGAAAATTTATTTAAAATCAGTATAAATGTATCTCTTTGGCAGTTTTAAATTGCTGTTCAATTAGTGTTAGGTGAAGTAGAATCCTGTTTCTTTGTTTTCATTACACATTCAAGAAACAGCTCTTTTCATTTAGGAAAACAAAATTAGAATAGTTCGCTATTTTAACCACTGCAAGCAAAAAAATCAGTTTTGTATTTTTTTTTCCAAAGTTTATTTTCTAAATCAATGAATATGTATATTTTAAAAATATAAGGTAATTCTTATGCTTTAATTTATTGCTCCTTAGAGCTTGTACTTAAAATATCACTTTAGAAGGATGGGTTTAAAATTTAATCATTTTAATTTTTAAATGTTATGAAGTAGCATTATTTTTGTAACTAACAATATTGATACACATTTATTTTATTTTTATTAGGGTTTTTATGTTAGCATCAATCGTTATTACTTAAACTGCATATATTGTATAATAGTGAAATGTATATTCTAAAACTTCAAGTGGATTTCCTCCAGTGAAACTCATTGCTACTTAGAAATATTCAAATACTAGCTTTATCTCAGGTGAATACTCTTTTACCTTTTTTGTTCAGAATACATGCTTATAAAAATGTCTTAATTATTATCAGTTTAAGACAGTGCCTAATATGAAATACATAAACTTATTCTAAATTAACCTTCTACTGTGGGACAATAATGACTTGTGCTTCACCCATTTTATTCATATTGAATGTATTAACAGGTAAAGGTGCAAAAACATTCTTCCCTTGAAGAGAATGCATCCATATTCAAACAACTGAAATATTTCTGGAAAAAATGCTTTAAATGCAACACTATTGGAAATCTTTTATTTCAAATTTTGTCAAGGAAAGAAGTTGCAACTGAATGCTAATTGCCTCAATGCTCTTTCATGTGGATGATAGATGCATAAAGCTTCTATATAGGGTCTAAAGAATAACTTTTTATCTTAAAGGTTAAGCTCTACAATGAAATGACTGCTGTAGATTATAAAACATCCTGCAGTTATCTCAAACATTGATGTTTGTATATGTTTGTTATATATTACATAAGTATTTCCAGTAACTTCATCTTGAGTAAATAAAGCTCAATTAGTAGCTGGGCATTTCACTCACCTATGCATTCACAGAATCACAGAATTGTCTAGGTTGGAAGAGACCTCAAGATCATCGAGTCCAACCTCTGACCTAACACTAACAAGTGAAGTGACCGCGTCCTTGAAGCAGGGCCTCAACGAGCGTAGATGTTGTTTGGGAAGACAGATATTTTCACGAGAGCCCACCCCTCCCCTCGCCTTCCTTTTTCTACCTTTTATTGCTGAGTGTGACATCATATGTTATGGAATATCCCTTTGGTTTGTTTAGGTCAGCTGCCCTGGTGATGTTCCTTCATCACCTCTTGCCCACCCCCAGCCTGCTGGCTCCTGGGGGGTTTAGAGGGAGTCCTGATACTGTTGATTCAAAGATCGAAGCCGAAATTCCTTTAAGTGGTATATTCTTTATTGCAGCGCTGGATGCACGGGGGATCTCTCCACCTATCGTGCATACCCAAAGCGGAAAGCAGTCTTGAATTTATACAATCAATCTATCAATATTCTACAAGCGCCTATACATATGCATTACCTATCCCCGCCTTCCCTCGCTTCTCATGCTAATTAGCCTTTTGGCACCTTGCGCCTGCGTAGAGCCTCCCAAGAATTGTGGGCAGGGGTCTTTGGGACGTGGGCAGGGGTCTTTGGGAGGAAGACCCCGAGTCTTCCTCACAGTGTACTTTTCACCTTTGGTCAGGAATCTGCTGAATTGGCACGTTTCTTAATTGCGAGAGCTGGTTGTTGCCAATTCTTCCGTTTGTTGTATCTTTATAATGAATTCCAATGTCCAATTTTGAGATTTATAGTCCTTACATTTGTTTCTGTGTCCGTCTGCCGCTTCCTTATCATGAGTTCCAGTGTCTTGTTTCGAGATATACAGTCCATGTCTGGGGATTGTCCTTGCCTCCCCAATACCTCCCCAATACCTCCTTAATCAATCCCCCCTTTTCTTTTCCCATGCAAATTCTTTTGCATCAGATACTTTCATTATTTACAGTAACACAACAAAGCAGGCATCTAAACAACATGCACACAAATATTCCTAACACTACTAATGTGATTAGAGCAATGAACACTTGTTCCAACCATTGGAAGTTGGGCAACCAGGCGGTTAACTTATTCCATATTTCACTAAAACTCCATGAAAGATCATCTTTACTGATCTCATGTAGGACCCTTGTCTGCTTCCATATTTCTTCCAGGTCGGTAGAGATCCTTCCACTCTGATCTACATACATACAACAACTTGTATTTATTACTGTACAGACTCCCCCTTGAGCGGCCAGTAACAAGTCTAGGGCCATCCGATTTTGTAATACTACCTGTGATAAACTAGATATCTCTTCTTGTTGAGCCTTTATAGCATCCAGAGTTTTGTTTTCTAACTTCTCTATAATTGCAGAAATATTAACTATTGCCTTTTCCAATTCATTCACTCCTAACCATGGGATAAACCATCGAACAAAACTATGAAAAGCGGTGTGTCTCTCTATCAATGGATTGTTAATTTTTCGTCTAATTCTCCAGATATGATTTCTCAAGTAACCTCGAGGCACTACATCATGTACTGTCATACTGGGGACTACTGCTCCAAGAGTGCAAGTTCCCTTCCAGTTCTCGGGCAAGACCTTACGGGCTGTATCATTGCATAGCCAATACCACCCTTTTCCTTCTGGAACCGGCCAGCTGGTTGAATTTGCCCAGCCGCTAGTCGTACTAATATCAATTGTTCAATTACAAGATGTCTGATTTCCCACATAAGTAGTATCCGTATTTATACAATCCTGTTTTCCCATACCCTTAGGCGGGTTACACCTTTGTACACATACATAGTAAGATTCCAATGGCACGAAGCTACCAACTTCTAGTTCCAAAACTTCTTCATATTTTTGACCCCAAGATGTGTTTTCCCACAAATTCGTCCAAGGTAAGTTTGCAAGCAAGGGAATCCTGATTAACGATACACCCTTATTCCCATGCTGTGGCAGATGGGTGCATACCCAACAGTTTGTCTTATTAATTACTTGAGAAATTGTTTGTATCAGGGACAGGTGTAAGTTCTCATCCCAAACTGCCCACCCCGAATCTGACAACCACACCCCTGCAATCATTAGGATCTGGAAAACCATAATTTTGTTGGTCCAATTGGAGTGGTGGTCCATATCCTCGCCAGGGCCTTCTTCACCCTTGAATCGTGGATCCAAGCTGCTTGCTCCTTAATCTTAATGGCGGTGTGTGTTGTCAGTAATACCTGGTATGGTCCCGTCCACTTTCCTTCCGTTTTTCCTCTAGGGGTTGTCCTGAAAAAGTCTGTTGAGTGGTTGTAATGGCGTATCCTGCTTCCATCAGTATACCAAGATTCGTCAGCATCTTCTAAAAGTTCTTCCTTAAGATCGGGTCGATTAGAATACACAGTCTCCATTGTTTCTATACAATCATGGGTTATGGGTTGATCCAGAGTTCCACTGTCATTCCTAAAAAGGTTTGTAGCTCCTTTACCGTTTGAGGTTCTGGAGTCCGGCAAATGACTTCCTTATGTTCAGTTCCTAGTTCTCGTTGTCCTCCCGAAATTTCAAATCCCAGATAGGTCACACTTTGTTGAGCCAGCTGGACTTTCTGTCAAGAGACTTGATATCCATTTTAAACCCAGAAAATTAAGAAAACTTATAGTCCATTGAATACAGCTCCCTTTAGTCTCGGTAGCTATTAAGAGATCATCTACATATTGTAACAAAGCACCTTCAGTGTCCGGAGGCATCCATGTTTCGAGTTCCCTTGCTAATTGGTTTCCAAAAATAGTGGGGCTATTCTTGAATCCTTGAGGTAGTAATGTCCACGTAAGCTGTGTCTTTCTGCCTGAATTGGGATTTTCCCATTCAAAGGCAAATAGGTTTTGGCTTTCTGTGGCTAAGCCTAGGCAGAAGAAGGCGTCTTTTAAATCCAGTACGGTAAACCAGACTTGACTATTCTTTAATTTAGTCAGCAAAGTATAAGGGTTTGCCACTACTGGATGTATATCCTCAGTGATTTTACTTATGGCCCTCAAATCCTGAACTAACCTATAGCTTTTTCATCTGCCTTTTTAATTGGCAATATGGGTGTATTGTATTCTGATTCACATTCAATCAATAATCCATACTGTAAAAATTTATCAATTATCTCTTTAATTCCTTTCCTATCTTCTATCCTCAAAGGATATTACTTAACCTTAACGGGTTTCTCTCCTGGCTTTAATTTAATAATTATTGGGGTCACATTTTTAGCTCTTCCAGAGACTTCAGTGGCCCAAACTCCTGGATATACTTGATTTATGATCTCTAAGGGTATTTCACTTTTAGGGTCGATTTGTATTAGTGCCAGGCTTAACACATTTATTAGTTGTTCTTCTCCTATCCTTAATTCCATTTTCCTTTTTTTCGAAGATAATTTCTGCTTCTAATTGTTCTAACAGATCTCAACCTAATAGAGATTTTGGAGATCCAGGTAGATATAAAAACCTATGTATCCCCATTTGTTTCCTGTTATAAATGAGGTCTGAATTTTGTAATATTTATAAAACAAATATTTCTAAAAGGTATATAAAAGGCAAGTAAACAGCGCTGGGTGTGCAGGGAGTCTACGCTCCACCAACACGCACACACAAACATCAAACGTTCTAAATACATGTATACAGAACATTGCTTTACATAATAACCCGAGTATGCCTATACATACATACAATCAGGATAGGTAACAAACAATCCTTTGAGTTCCATAACTTAACAGTCCCCATTCTGCCAGCCTGTTCCTCTTCACTTCTTTTTCCTGCTTCTGTACCGATGTAACTTCATAGTGTTGCTTTTTTTTTTTTTTTTTTTTTTAAAAGCAGGCTCCCCTCTAATACCCTTCTCTCCACAGCAGTTCTTTTCAAAACAACTGTTTAATTAGTCAAACAACTTTGAATGTAACAACAACAGCAAACACCCAGAAACATCCATGCCTTAACGGCTGGAGAACAAGAAACCACCTGGAGAACAAGAAACCCCAGACTGCATGGAGTCTCCTGAATCACCCTTCTTTGTTAATATCAACCATTTTCTCGACACGAATTACCACTCCATATATAACATTTCCCCAACTTGTATTTTAAAGGTTCACAAAAATAAGCCTTTTCGGTTACACCCTTTTACATTAACATAATCATTCCGTAAAGGCATTAATGCTTGATTTAGAACTGAATACGTTGCCCCATATCAATAAGAAATTTCACTTCCATTCCTCCCCTATCTTCATTATAATCAGTGGAGGATCCGCTAGGGTAGATTCCCCAGGTCCCCGTTATTCCTGTTGAAATCAGGGACCAATGATTACCCTAGAAAAAGGCTAGTCAATTTGTCCTCCGAAGCCAGGTCCAAACCGTTTTGTTTTATTTATTTATTTATTTATTTTCATTACATTTCAGAGTTGGTCCAAAAATTCCATAGGGGTTTCTTTTAGACCTTGTTGGAAGCATATTCTCAATTCCCAATTCATCCATATTTTAGTATTTACTTAGCCGTTCATAATTTTAGGGATGATTAGGGTCTCAGTGGGGTCGGTCAGGGGAATGCAGTTGTTCACAGTTCCCTGAGCGGTCCCATCGGTAATCTGAGCTCGCACATGAACTCAGGTTGTTTTAAGAGTTAACTGCTTTTCTGTTTCCATAACAACTCTCTCTCGGACCCATCATGATCTCTTTGCCCCAAAGGGCTAACACCCATGATTTTAAGATCTCTGCCTAGAGCAGAGGCAGAACTATTAACATTCCTACATCCTCTTTCCCTGCTCATTCAACTTCAAACACCTTTAACACTTTCAACAACCCTTTTAACACTTCCTTTATCTTTCTCCAGCCTGTACTTCTCTAATGCCAACATCAAAGGCTCAGTCAGGGGCCAACTTAATTCCGTACCTTTTCCCACCAAGATGCTGAAACAACATCAGTATACAACATTTCATCCTATTCTCCTTCTCAAAACCAACATTAACTGTAGCAAACAATATTTTATCAATGTTTTCCTGTTCACACTTCCACCGGCAGATCCTCCAATATCCTTCCAGTGACTCAAAACACATCCTAACGCACTTTTCTTAGGAATTTCACTGCTTACTCGCCCCCCCATTTTCCAGTTTACACTTTCAGAATACACGTGTTACTTACAAAAGCGTATCACAAAAACGTATCACTCACAAAATTACAGGCACGCAATATCTTTCAGTAGCGATGTCACAAAGCTACTATTACCAGCAATATTGCTAAAATCACAATAACAATAGTCAGAGTCAAATTCCACATGCGATAAGTCAGAAAACCGAACTGTGTAACACCATAACGATATCTTTCTTATAACAATGCCACGAACCTACTATTACCACCAGAAAAATAGCCAAAATCACAGTAACAATAACCAGAGTTAAATACCATACTCCATGAGTCAGAAAACCGAAATAAACAACACAATTCCAGATGGACCTTAAAGCGAGCTCTTTCCTTAAGGTCCCCAAATATACTTATGGTGCTTACCACAAAGTATATACCAAACACTGCCTCGCAGAAGATCACCTTCTGACTTACAGACAGTTCCAGATACAGATGGACCTCAGGGTCCCCAGATATACTTGTGGTACTAACCACAAAGTATATACCAAACACTGTCCTGCAGAAGTCACCTTCCGACTTACTGGACAGTCCCAGATGACCGGTCTACCAGAAAACCAAACCAGAATAAAGAATATACTCACTTACAATGATGGGGTCCTTGTCTGCCTCCGCAGTGATCCGGTGAGTCGAGGAGTCCCTCCGGGAAATCCCGGGGGTACCCTAGGGAGTCCTGTCCCCAGCGGGTCCTGCGGACCGGCAGAGAGGTAGTCCCATCTGGGGTGCCAGATTGATTCAAAGATCGAAGCCGAAATTCCTTTAAGTGGTATATTCTTTATTGCAGCGCTGGATGCACGGGGGATCTCTCCACCTATCGTGCATACCCAAAGCGGAAAGCAGTCTTGAATTTATACAATCAATCTATCAATATTCTACAAGCGCCTATACATATGCATTACCTATCCCCGCCTTCCCTCGCTTCTCATGCTAATTAGCCTTTTGGCACCTTGCGCCTGCGTAGAGCCTCCCAAGAATTGTGGGCAGGGGTCTTTGGGACGTGGGCAGGGGTCTTTGGGAGGAAGACCCCGAGTCTTCCTCACAGTGTACTTTTCACCTTTGGTCAGGAATCTGCTGAATTGGCACGTTTCTTAATTGCGAGAGCTGGTTGTTGCCAATTCTTCCGTTTGTTGTATCTTTATAATGAATTCCAATGTCCAATTTTGAGATTTATAGTCCTTACGTTTGTTTCTGTGTCCGTCTGCCGCTTCCTTATCATGAGTTCCAGTGTCTTGTTTCGAGATATACAGTCCATGTCTGGGGATTGTCCTTGCCTCCCCAATACCTCCCCAATACCTCCTTAATCACTGTGCCAGTATCACTCAGCAGTAGACACAACACTGGTGTGATACCAGTGCTGTTCTAGCTACAGGTGCAGAGCACAGCACTGTATGGGCTGCTGCAGGGAAAGTTAACTCCATCCCAGCCAGACCCAGTACAAGCAGGTAATAGTCTGGAGGCTGTATTATGCTTGAAAGCTTCCTGGTAACATCCCTGATCTGAGCCCTGGGGACGCAGCAATCTTCTCTGAGAAGAGGGTTTGGTCTGCACATGGGAGCCTCTGTTCCCTTCAGAAAGGGAGTCACCTATGACTACAACTTGCCACTGTTTCTTCACAGCACTGGTTTTGATGCCTCTTCTTCCATCTTCTCACATCCCTCATCTACCATACCAGAGCCTCATATCTATTCAGTAATGGAAGCTGAGTGGATGGACAGGGGATCCTCTTATGACTTACAACTCCCACAGGCGTGCTTGCTGTTGTCCTCCATCTCAGGGAGTAGCCTCAGGCACGCCTGAGAGCTGGGTGGTTGCATGAACTGCCAGGAGCTCTGTCAGGGTGGTTGTGTTAGTTCTACCAGGTTGCAGAGGAATGGAAGCAGAGGGTGTGGCTTTCTGTCAAGTGGTCACCATGTCTGTGCCTCCTTGCTGCCACAAACCTGACAGAATGTTGTTTAATACGTTGCTGTTGGTTGAGGAGGCCATCAGGGCTGCAGCCCAAGCCTGCTGGTGAGCAGAGCAGGCAGCAGCCCTCCTACTGCCAGAATGTGCTGCCCTTCTTGCATGCCCTTCTGCACAAACTGTCACACCCTCTCTGTCCCTGCTTACAAATACTGTTTGTGACACTCCCAGTCAGTTCTTGGAAAAACTTCTGTCTTAACTAGAATTAAGTACAGTTGACTGTTTGGATGACTTTGGTGTTGAGCAATCTGCATATAAAGTTCAAGAGTGAGGAATAATTATTTACATTTTTAAACTGAAAGGAAAACGTTTATAAAAAGGAATCATGCTTAAACTATGTATGCTGTGTATGAGCTGAACAGCTAAAGATACTGACAAAGATCTTTGTGCTTTATGCTACAATAAGAATAAAAAAAATGGCTTGT